GTGTTTTTAAATGCAAAAACTTTTGAGTTAAGACGCGTTCCCAAAGAACACATTTTTGCATTCCACTCATTGCTTTTCCACTGTTTTTATATGGAAACGTGCTAAATGGACATGTTGCACTTGTGTCTTTTGCAGTGTCTAAAAGCGCATTCTAAAAATACAGCATGTAAATTAAAGGTTTAAAAAAAATTTAAATAAAAAAAAAAATGCTTCTTTAGACCTTTGTTTTTTTCTGTTCCATTACCCTGTCTTGCGTATTTAAATGTAAAAACGTGTTCTGTGTGATTGGCCTGTTATGCTGGCAAATCTTGTCAAAGAACATCATGTGATATGGGAAAAAAAACACATCAACCCCCACACCTGGTAAAGTCAACTTAAAGGCACAATTCATTCATAAATAAATAAATGACTCAGTTAATAAAATGTGTCCACACAGTGAAAGTTAATGGGGGTCCAAAACAACACTGGTCCCCATTGGGAAAAACTAAAAAACGGGGGGGAAAAACAAAGACAAAATATCTCTTTTTTATTTTTTTTAAATCTGTCTCCGGTTCTTCCTGCGTTGCTCCACACCAGGCATTTTACAACATTGTTATTTTTACATACAGCCTCTATCAACAGGTGTTTTGACTAAACTAGCTTCCCCATAACACTTTCCAGACCATTTAACCACCTTCCTTAATCTCCCAATCCACAAACCTGAAAGGCTGTGCGCAATCCAGTCAAGTTCCCCACCGCTTCAGCCTGAAGAGTGTGGATTACCTTAATCCACACGTTTGGCATCCTGATCCAGGGAAACAATACTGTGTAACCGTACAGGGACACTTTTTAGATGGGGGTGGGTCTATACTGGATCATTAAGGGGATTTAGACTTTGCAGTGGGAGACATTGTAATGAGGTACAGATGTAAAAAATAAATAAATAAATAAAATCGGTTCAGGATATCTCTGCTGTTGATTAGCAGAAGGGGTGAGAGGTGACGACCCCTCGACACCCCGCAGTCAGGTGAGCACGTGCAGTCAGCTGTGGTGTAATGCACTCTGTTCCTCATCTTTATCACATCATTTACACAGACTACCAGAGTAAAGTGACATAGATCCTCTTAATGAAACAGGATCTTTTCAGTTAAAAAAAGACAACCGTTTTTCACCAAGAGGAAATACACTGCTGCCTCTAAAGCTAAACCACAGTTTCTTTTTTTTTTATAATAAAATCAACTTAATTTTAATGACTTTGGGGAATGGAAAGACTCAAGACTTCCAAGAAAATTAAATGCTGCTTTAAAAAAAAAAAAAAGGGGGAAAAAGCCCTCAGTGGATCACAGCATGCTTTCTTATTCAGCACTCACAACTACTCTAACGAAAGTTTGACTCCTTTAACTCCGTTATCACGCCCTCTTGTGTCAATCCACTGACACTTATTTTTAACTTGATTGTTTCAGTCTCAGCTGCTTCCAGTTCTTTTAGCAGTGCAAAAACAGTCTGTTATGCTGCTTGATACTGCAGAGTGGTATTTGTTGTTCTACTTTATTATCATAATCATAAACGCACTGGTTTGTAACGCAAAGAGTTTTTAGAGGGCAACTTTAGAGGTCAGCAGTTGGACTCCGGGGAACTGATTTATATTTATTAACTTATAAACCTTTGAAGACAGACCAACTGTGAGTTATAAGGACAATCAATGGTATCTGCTTTTGTTGAAGTTACCCGCCTGCATTATTTTAACTTTAAAAAAAAATACTTTTCAACAGCATAATTCAAAGTTAAAAAAACAAACAAAAACACATTACCCATGATCCTCTTCTCAAATTACTTAAATGTTTATATATATATATATATATATATATATATATATATATATATATATGATTATTTTGTAATACATTTTAAATATATTGTTTCTATATAGTACAATCAATATCTTCAAATAAACTGGTTTTATATTTATCCTTTTTTTTTTGGTTGTCATTTGCAATGTTCCATGGTAATGTTCTTTCCATCATTAAAGCCCTTAAGTACAGTCCTGCACCTTTGTCTTTTTGTCCAATTTGCAAATACTTTTGCTTCGAATCAAAGTTTATAATGTTGTTATTCATCTCAGTTGGCTGGTTTGACTGGTTTCATGGCTTATAAATCTTAAAGGAAGACTGGGGAAAATACCTGAAGGACTCTGATAAAGTGGACAGACACTGTATAGAGGTTAATTGAAGGTATATGCTTTGGTGAAGCCATCAGCCAGCTTTATTTTAAAGGTGGGGTAAGCGATTTTTTAAAAATGCTTTAGAAAACTGATTCGGGCCAACTAGCAAAACAAACTTGTAGCCAGTCAGCAGTAAGGGGCATGTCTACTCATGATGTGGAGGAGAGAGCGTTCAGTGCACAGGACGGACATTTGCCTAGCCGACCCGAGCGACAGAAAGATGGAGATGGCGGATAAACAAAAGAGGAAAACGTCTGTGGAGCAAAAGAAGGCTTAAGGCAATAAGGCAAGAAGTAGGACCCGTGTAAATCTCGGATCAGCTTTCCAGCGCTGGAGAGAACTCAAGGAGCGGAAGGCTTGTGATCGGACGCTGAGGTTGCTTTGTTTCTTGTCGATAGGCGAGTAACACCGTGTGCGCGCCGCAACAGCTAAATTCTGTCTAGTACACTGGACACGACAAAGCGACCACTGAAAATCATTTGAAATTTGTGTCAATACCCTGTAAGTACACCATTACAGCATGGTTCACCTTTTACAGGCACGGTTCAAAAACAATCCTACATTAAGGATTACTTTAAAAAAATCAGAACCACTCATAATGAATATTCAAGAACCTATCAGTCAGTCTGAGAGAGCGTCCCCTCCCACTCTTTCACTCCGCTGTTAAAGGAGAAAAAAAAATATATAGCTATATACACATACATATTTCTGCAGTTTCACTTTAGAAATACTCTACCTTCTCATACATATAGTTTTTTTTTTTCAGTATTTTTTGTTTTCTTAATCAAATGTGAGTGCAATCAAACAATACCAACTACGCCATATAATCTGCAATAAAAAAAACTATTAAAATGATGAGTCAAAATGATAGAGGGGGAAACCTATTTGAAATTTGACTATTTTGTTAGAGAAAACCACAAACCAGAAGGCAAGCTGATGGGAATAAATCAGTAGGGAGAGCAGGGGATGAAGTGTGCTGCGAAAAAGAGGAGGAGTTCAGTTCTTATGTACTGTCTCTGAGGCGACTGTAAGGAAGTCACCGTGACAAGCTCCTCCAAATAAAGTTCTCTCCATTCAGAGAGTAATCTCCTGCTGTCAAGATTGAGTCTCAAGAGTGTCCTAGGCTTTTTTTTTTTTAATTTTCATGTTTAACAGCAAGCACCAAAATGAATGACACTAGAAGAAAGTTGCCTCTGCCCCAAAAGAGAAAAAGAAAAATCCACAACAGATACATTACATTTCTGTGGCTGCTGTCCAGCTGCTGGGATAGAGCCTGTAAGAGTCGCAGGGTTAAAGAGGGTGGCAGAAACGGTGAACAAGAACTGAGATCATGCCTCCAAAAAGCTGCACATGCGTGGTTGTGAAGGGGTTCAAAGAGAGCCGTGTCTGAACGAGGGTCCCTGTCCCTCTCAGAGCTCACTGGCCCCACCCTCCTCCAGCTGAGTTCAGAGTACACGCCTCAAAATTAACATCCAGCAACTTCTGCTTGAGCAGTCCCATCACTGCTCATAATCGACAGATTTCAGGAGGAAGGGGGGGTGGGGGGAGTAAAAATAAATCTCTCTACCATACAATGCAGTTCTAAAAAAAAAAAAAAAAAACCTTAAGATTTCTGTAGTTTTCTCATCTTTAAAAAACAAGCATATGTATTCCCAGACTCGTTGTTTGACATTTCCTATGACGCTCTCTGAATTAAAACCAAAAAAAGTGTGAGCAAGGGTTTTCTTGTGTGATTTGAGGACATACTCGTGTGGATTCAGAAGCCGTTGGGTGCTCGGGCTACCAGGGGTCGTCCAGGTCACCTCCGCTCTGCGACAGGGAGAAAACAAGAAAAGGAAAGAAATGAGCAAACAGAGAAAAATTAAAAGGGTAAAACACTCACTAGTAAGAACTGGGGATGTAAAAGAAACTATGAAACCTGTGAGGGTGTGAAAGACTAGAAAAGGAGAGAGAGGAAGATTTCCTAATTGTTGAATTCCATTTAACAGAAAATGAAGTCTGGTTTTACATAGTTCTGATTAAAAAAAAATTAAGTTTGGGGTCAGTAAGATTATTATTATTATATATATTTTTTTAAATAATACTTTTATCCAGCAAGGATGCAATACTTCACAATATTGTATTTTTGATCAAATAAACGCAATTTTGGTGAGCATAAGAAACTCATGCTCATCAATGTTTTTCAAAAACATCATATACAGACCCCAAACTTTTAAACAGTAGTGTAGGTGCCTCCGAACCTACAGGTGACTCCAAAGTAGACAGTGGGCCAAAAACCTAATAACATTAAAACAACATACAACCAAAACAGGAGTGGTTACATTAATCTGTGTACCAAAAAAAGGTCAATAAACACACAAAAATAAAAAAACAAATGGGTGGGAAAAAACCTGCAAGGACTGGCCAACATTCTTTTTCTGATATTAGTTGCATTTTCATATGAGAAGAAAACTAATTTCCCCCAGTCTAAAACCGGCTTTTAAACGATTAAGGCACATTTGAAGCTCACTTACCTCAAGCCTCAAACTTCCACTAACAAGCTCATGAGTAAGAACATAAGCCATGTCTGATTGTGAAGGATAGTTAGGAGTGAACAAGTTCTTACAAGAGCTGTAAAAAGCACTCATGAAACTATCAGCATTCTATGTGGTGGTGTCATCTCAAATTTAATAATGAATTGGAGCAAAGACAGATATTAATAGTTGAATTTGATTTATTTTGAATTTCAGCGTGAAACAAAATGTATACAACCCTTTGCCCAGAAAAAAAATGTAATAAAAAAAATCTGAACCCAAAGCAGCAAATACTGCTCTATAGACAATTAAGCTCTCTGATTCTGCTGAGCCTGTATTTTAGTAACATTGGTTTAATATAACAATGGCAGCATTATGCATGCACTTACGCTAACTGTTAAGAGGATTATACAGTTTGTGTTATGCATCAACTTCCAAATAAACAAAGTAATCAGCTTCAAATGGCTTGATAAAATCAGCCAAAGAAATCACAAAACAAAAGCAGTTTGGAACATCAGATATTTTGCGATAAGACATGATCCACATGGACAGAATTCAGCTTGCTTTCCATAAACTCGGGTCATAAGAATAAGAAAAGTGTGATAAGAAGCCCTGTGCAAATACTGCAGTGTACAGACATTCATGAATGATCATGTAGCAGCGTTGCCTAATTTATAGATTGCATTAAGTCCTTCTAAAGGTAAATCAGTCTGTATTGTCCCCTTTCAATGAATGACTTTGACGGTCATTGACTGACTGGATCAGCACAACAGACGAAAGGAGATTTTTGCAAGAACAAATGATTGTGTAAGCTTTCGTAATCTCATACGGTCCATGCTTATAAAGCCAGTGCATTTCCATTTTGTGCTTCTTCCTCAAGGACACACCTGGATAGTAGTTAACTGTGACCACTCAAAGAGCAGACACAGGACAATCATATTCGAGAGGTCAGCTCAAATTCTAAACCGATATGAAAGAGATATGGAGAGAGAGGAAGATATACACATACACAGCATAAGAGTTCCCTTTTAAATGGTGAAAGAATTGCTTTTGATCAGTTATTCATCTCGCATTTCAAGCATTTGATTCACACACACAAGCACAGAGCATACCAGAAGTTGTACCTGATGTTTACTACAGTACGTTAATATCCTATAACTAAGATCAGCCACGAGACAACCCTGGATATGTAGTACACATGCATCGCATGGCACGAGAGCAAACAGTTGTGTGTATTCTTGGCACGGCCCAGATTGTCCACTTAAACCATTGCGATTTCAACTACTTATATGGGTAAATTCTTTGGGTGTGAAATGGTGATCATCAAATCATTCAGGGGTGTGTGACAGTATTCAAATCTCCTTAAAGACAGTTCACCAAAAATGAATTATTTACCTTCATGTCATTCCAAACCTGTGACTTACTTTTGCAGAACACGAAAAATATATTTTGAACAATGTTTCTCGTCTATGCAATTGATTGTACAAAGACTTTGTACGAAAAAAGAAAAAAAAATCTAAAAACATAAAAAAACAAAAGACAAAGTGGAAAAAAATTAAATAATAATTTAAGTCTGGAATGACATGAAGGTGAAAAGATGACAGAATTTTGACATCTAGGTGAACTATCCTTTTAACAATTTATTAGATAACACCTCCATGTCTCATTTTAAAAACACTAGGCTAAGTGCAGGTATGAGAAAGTGCTTACTGCAGACAGAGCTGGGATATGCCAAGGTTAACCTCAGTTGCAGTTGCAGAGCAGGTTTTTAGTGATAAGAATTCTGCACAAAACTTCCTCTGTATGCTACTTTTACTTTTTGCAGAGCTCACAAACACAAAACAAACACCCAAAGTGCTATTACAAATCCATAAAGACAACCAAAAACCTGAAAATATATTTTGAACAATGTTTCTCGTCTATGCAATTGATTGTACAAAGACTTTGTACGAAAAAAGAAAAAAAAATCTAAAAACATAAAAAAACAAAAGACAAAGTGGAAAAAAATTAAATAATAATTTAAGTCTGGAATGACATGAAGGTGAAAAGATGACAGAATTTTGACATCTAGGTGAACTATCCTTTTAACAATTTATTAGATAACACCTCCATGTCTCATTTTAAAAACACTAGGCTAAGTGCAGGTATGAGAAAGTGCTTACTGCAGACAGAGCTGGGATATGCCAAGGTTAACCTCAGTTGCAGTTGCAGAGCAGGTTTTTAGTGATAAGAATTCTGCACAAAACTTCCTCTGTATGCTAGTTTTACTTTTTGCAGAGCTCACAAACACAAAACAAACACCCAAAGTGCTATTACATATCCATAAAGACAACCAAAAACCTGCACTGGAAGTGCTCTAAGGAGGAAGAATGCCCAAAGCAACCTAGCAATCTGGGCCAGAGAGCAGTTCTGGGGAAAGGAGTTTGATAGCAAGGCTGGGTTTAGTGGGTACTAAATAGGGTCATGCAGTGGGGGCGCCAGAGAGCTTGTCCAGAGACTGTGATGTAGCGGCTTCGTCCTGTCCCTCCTCAGAGCCGAGGGGTTCAGTGGCTGGGGATGGTGGAGGCGAGGGAGGTTCCTCCATGGGGTCGGTCCGTGTCACGGCGCCTGTCCCATAGGACAGCCGGTAAGTGGAGAGTGCCTGCTCCAGCACTTGGCGGTATTCACCTCGGTGACTGAGCCGGAACTGTCGTAGCGCCTCCAGCAGGTGGGCGGCGGTGGAGCCGGGAGGTTCCTCCATGGGGTCGGTCCGTGTCACGGCGCCTGTCCCGTAGGACAGCCGGTAAGTGGAGAGTGCCTGCTCCAGCACTTGGCGGTATTCACCTCGGTGACTGAGCCGGAACTGTCGTAGCGCCTCCAGCAGGTGGGCGGCGGTGGAGCCGCCTTCTTCTTCCTCCTCACCGCCGGCTGCTCCTCCCTGGCTGTCCTGGTGCAAGACGCCAGTGTCAGTAGACAGAGCAGGTTAAGAGACCCCGCTTAGAGTGGACCACCTGCCCATGACCTTACACTGCCTTTTTATTTAGAAAGCAGCACGCTCGAGGAGCGATAAAATAAGCTGTAAGTGGTGGCGAATGTGTGTTTGTCTGTGTGTGCGCGAGGGTACAAAAGATGCAGGAGCTTGTCAACACACGTCTCTTCTCACAAGTCTTAAACCAATAAACTCACTGTAGTATGCATTACCAAGATGCAGACATACGAATACAAACTGTCACAGAGTGGCACAAGCACAGACGGACAAACAAAACCAAGGCCGGCACATAAAGCCTTGCATTTACATCTTAAATGCAGAGGCACTGCTTTTAAAGATAGTGGTGTTTGGATGTTTAATATGCCCTATATATAAAGCAATCTCTAAGTACCAGATATGCTTCCCTAAGTAGGACATTTGCTAATCACTTGCTATATGTATCTCTCAAATGATCGGGGGAGTAAATGTATGCATGAAAGCGTCACCTAGACCTACATTAAGTCAAAATATTTGCAGGTGTGATGCATTAAAAGTATTGTAAGATGATGAGTAAATGGATGGACTCAAGTCTAAGCAAGAAGACTCAATTGACCTTTTGTTCTGTTCTTATGAGATCACAACAGTAAGGAGACACTCACCCCATCTTCTTCTCTGTGTGGGTTTAGCCTGTTGTAAACAGCCTCAATTACACTACGTCTAGAAGAGAAGAGAAGAGAAACAGATTAGACAGAACTCTAAAAACCCTAGTGTAGATACTAGTGAGAAAAGTTTATCTGGTCCACAGCAAAATCTCAGATGTTTAAAATTGAGCAAAAATCACTATTTTACACATTATAAAGGAGGATAATAAAAAAAATAAAGCACTGCAATATTATTTGCTCTCGATTTCTATATAGTGATATTTCCAGCTGTATTGAAATTCTTGCACCAAGAATCAATATATTTTATGTTACTTTTGCATAAATATTTATATAATTTAATATATCACTTTATCCACACATTATATAGCAGGGGTAATAAAAAAGTAATGCTATATTTTACCTCTTGAATCCTATCATTTATTTTTTCATTTTTTCCACCTGTACTGTATATTCTCACACCAGGGATCAATATTTTCAGTTAATTTTTCACATTAATATTTATATAATTTAATATTATATAATTATATAACAACATTATAAAAAATATACAGTTTTCACATTTAAATAATATACAATTCTGGATGATACCAATAAGGCAGTAATTATTTTCATGCTATGGCCAATAATTGAGATGGTTGGAATTAAAACTCTACACAACTCTACATTATTGTGTCTAAATGAAAGAGAAATAAAATAAAGTGCTATGCTACCTGTGAATTTAGGCATCACAACATTACAATACAACATGTCTAACAGTGCACAATATGAAAAATGGATTTCATTTTGAGATTTGATTCAAGATTACATTATTTTAAAGACTGAAGTGCTAATCTGAATTATTTACCTCTTGAATCCTATCATTTCTTTTTTCATTTTTTCCACCTGTACTGTATATTCTCACACCAGGGATCAATATTTTCAGTAAATTTTTCACATTAATATTTATATAATTTAATATTATATAATTATATAACAACATTATAAAAAATATACAGTTTTCACATTTAAATAATATACAATTCTGGATGATACCAATAAGGCAGTAATTATTTTCATGCTATGGCCAATAATTGAGATGGTTGGAATTAAAACTCTACACAACTCTACATTATTGTGTCTAAATGAAAGAGAAATAAAACAAAGTGCTATGCTACCTGTGAATTTAGGCATCACAACATTACAATACATGTCTAACAGTGCACAATATGAAAAATGGATTTCATTTTGAGATTTGATTCAAGATTACATTATTTTAAAGACTGAAGTGCTAATCTGAATTAAAAAAATGTTATTCATTCATTTATTTATGTTTTAACGCCATATCAGCAACAATGCTATATTCATGGCAACATTAACAATATCATTTCAATACATCATTTACAATAATATAACATTTTCTTAAACAATCATTATACAAAAACATACAAGAAACAACAATAGTACTGATAAAAATCATATACAATCTTTCAGTTTAATCGGTGATAAAAATTCTAAAATTCTTCCAGGAGAGACTTTAAGTATATACTTTTAGTATATTTTCTGAATAATATTGTTGTCTAATATAATTTAAAATGGTATTAAAATGTGTTTTACACTCAAAATAAATATGAATGAGTGAGTCTTGAATGTCCAATTTGACATCTTGTATATACAACCTGGTCATATATATTTTCAAAACAGTAATTACTTATTTCATTTACTACTGGATTCACCTCATAGTTTGTTGTATATGCATTCATTCCATTCGCC